GCCGCCAGGAGTGGGCCGCCGACGGACTGGAGAGTGGAGTTGGAGTCGGAGATCGAGCTTTTTAGGGTTTCTGCCTCGGAGAGGAGGGAGCGGAGATCGTCAATGACGCGAATGAAGTCCTGGTAGTGAGCTTTGCAGACGGACTCGATCTCGGACTCCTTGGATCGGGCAAAGAGGCGGAGGTTGTGGAGGAGGGCCTCGGGCTTGGACTGGGTGAAGGCGCGGCGGATGAAGAGGGAGAGGTCGTCGCCGTTGGAGATGGCGGCGGAGAGAGATCTCGTCTGAGATCGTGAGAGTGGAGAGAGAAGAAAGGATGGAATTGCAGATGACAGACTATCCCTTGGGATTTAGAATTATAAGTCTAGTATAGGTTTAAAATGTTAATGGATTTGGGTCAATATCCAATATTCAAATTCTTTTGGATCCAAACAATAGAATTGGGCTAAATACAGTATTTGAAATGAAATCCTGGTTACCAAACACGCTGTTAACAAAATTGAATGGTAGAATAAGAGTTTTAAGTCGATGGTTAAGATTATCCTACAGAAAAATCATAAACCCAAAGAAATAAATATACACATGGTTAAGATTTTGAAAACATATGGCATATTATTTGCATAGAAAACTTAAAACCTGTGAATAAAAGATTATCACAAACATGTTAATAAACTTCCTCAAGACAATGGCTATTAAACTATCTATCAAATTGAACTGACATCCAAAATAGTTTAAGCCCAAAAAAGAGCCTAAAGATAAATTACAAGTTAACAAACCTGTTCTGTATTAAGCTCCCAATACTCTTTTAATTCCATGGAACTAGCTAGCTGATGCAGAGCTTCTTGAAAAGCACGAGTTTCATCTCCCAGATTTCTTCTCTGGAAGCGGATTACAGGCTGAGTACACTGGCTTTTGTCCTGCACATTACGTTGATCCGCAACACAAGATGGACAAAACCAGTCCCCATCTGGAATCCGAGCAAGGGGAGGGTTTAGGCAATATCTATGGTACTCGGAATCACATTTGTCACACAAAAGAACACTGGTATCATCTTTATCTATGCCACAAACTTTGCATACACCATCTTCCCAAGGTGCTTTAGGTACTTCATTTCCAGCTAGCAGAACATCATGCAATTCTTTCTGTATTTCAGCATCTAATCGCTCGACACCGGAGTGAATGGCAAATTTTTGAAATACATCTAAAATCTGCATTTAGAATTTGAATCATGAAAATGTACAAGAGAAATGGTAAACAAATCAAATCAAAACTTTGATCTTATTTCTCAATGACGTTTGGTAAAAGTGAGGCAAAAAAATCTATAAGGAATGATATTTAAAAGAAATCAGCTATATCAAACTACACAAGGGGCTATGCAAACATCCTATCTGTTGTATGCAATCATTTCATCCTACATGCATTAGAGTTTTGAATGTTGGGCAAGTAACAACTAACAAGCAACATTCTCATTTTAACAAATCTTGAAAAATTGCTTCTTACTTGCTTAACATTCAAAACTCTGAAGCATGGCTGGAGCCTGGATGTACAGTTGTTCAACCCAGAATTCTTCATTGACTTCAAAGGTACTCTATGGAGAGTCTGGTGACAGACAGAGTACTCCAGAAGCACTTTATATTTAATCATGGTGCATTAGTTCTGTGAAAACATCCTTGCTATCACCATCATGATGAAACACTAATGCTGCAAGATGGCAGTGATCCTTTACAGGTATCTCCAAGTCATCGATACAAACAACTCTTTTGCTTCATTATGTACTTCAGTCTTTTACTAAAGTCCAATTTCATACATCTAGCTTTTTTACATGCTAATTCCAAATCTGTTATATTCGAAAAGTTCTCCACATCATACACTACCTAATATTTTTCAATTTGAGGAATTGGTATCAAGGAACAAGACCAGAAAATAAATACCATTTACGTTAGAAAGAGAAAAGCATGAGTAAAGGAGATAGTAAATGGAGATCTCTCCTCTGGACACCGTATATTTGACAATTCACGTACGTTAACCAGAAAAAGATATAATCAATCATAAGTATGCCTTTCAAACAAAAATTTTCAGCAATGGCCGTCTATATTGAAGTGGTAATAAGATAATAAATGCCTAATACAATTAAGATTATAGTAGCAAGAAAAACAACAAGTGAAGAAGCAACAATAATAAATAACAATGAAAATGGGGGTATAAAGTTATAGAGACCTCCTTCTCATATAGAGACTCAAAGCTCTGCGCCAATTGTTCCAGTTTTTGTATTAAATCAGGTTGATCCTCGTATGCAGTGCGTAGATTGTGCCAAACCTGACAGCGGAAAGGAAAGTTATTTATGCCCTTATGCAGCCAAATACATATACAATGATACAGGAAGTTCATTTGGACGCAAATTCTATCTGTAGCTACAATTCACAATATTCGTCAAACACGGGATGAAACAAATCAGCTTCTCCCCATTGAAGATATTTCTTAATGGCATAAATAATGAACCATCAAAAGCTTATAGATAATACAGATATCCATGAATACTACATTGGCTCATAACGCACATCAATAAATAAATAATAAATGTTGTAACGTTCACAGAACATCATACACTACAGTAACAATTAAAAATATTGATTAAAACGTAATGAGTAGTGAATCATTGCTCCTTTATCTTTGCCCCTTTTTTTTGGGTTACTCCCAATTTCTGCAGAGCTCTTTCATTGGTATTCTGTTTCATGTTTTAACTTTAACCAATTTATTTGTGACATGAAACTGCAATCATGGCAAGCAAGCCACTTTCAAAACCAGCATATGTGATTCGTTTCTTTAAATTATCAGCTCCTCTTAGGGAATCTCCTTCAAATAGCAAACCCTAGGCTTCTTTAAGCATAACCCTATTAAGCCTGCCAAGGATCAAATCAACTAATTACATTATGAAGACTCTCTACCTCCATATACACCCATATAATGCACCTCCTGAACTATTTGAACTATTTGTGCCCCCCCCCCTCCCAAAAAAAATTTAATAATAATAATAATAATAAATAATAATAATAATAATAATAATAATAAATAATAATAATAATAATAATAATAAAACAAAATAAAACAAGAGAAAAAAGTTTACATGATGACTCTAATGACCCAAGACTAAGAGAGATCTTCCTAGGAGATAATCCATCCTATAATCGCTTGTACTGAATCATGACCTTTAACAATGCTAAATAGATAAATCTTGAGCTGGTGAAAAACATTATACATAAGGATCTCGTCTAGCTCACATCGGAATATAGAACAATCAGCTTTGGTTGTGACATACTATTATGTAGGGTACAGCATCCTCACCATAGTAACACTCCAAAAGACAATGCAATATTCGAGAGATGACCACTATGTATTCCAGAGATAGCTCTGTCAAGAGGTGGCCCTCACCAAATTCCTATATCGCGTGGTATTCGACTATGTGTAGCACTCGGCTCCATGCAGTAGTTTCACACAAGGTGTTAAGCTCTGAAACCATTTGTAACGCCCATGAAAACCTTCCAAGAGGTCAACCATCATGGAATTTATCCAATAAAGTAAGCATAGTAACTATTAACAGAGCCTTTACGTGATTCCTCCCACAAAAATCCTAACTATGATTAACTCTTAAACGGCTAAATTACAAGATTGGTATTTTCAGTAGGACCGTGTTTACAATACACTGATTCCAATTTGGTATTATTTTATATAGGAAAAAATAACCACATTGGGGTTTTTTTTTTTTTTGATAGAAAAGATAGATTGGTATTAATTTCGAAATTAATACCATAATGTCGGCGATGAAAGAAAAAATATATACCACTGTAAACAGGATCCTACTAAAAATGCCGGTTTGATAATTTCATCATTCTAAAACATAGAAACTATTATATACCAGAGTCCCTTCTACTCAATTCTCATGATACTACTCTTGGGCTTTGACAGTAACTCCCTATTTGATATCTCCGCCCATCTGTTAAGTAAGCCGCCAATGTGAAAGTTATATACAGACATTTTTTCCACTTTCTTTTTCTCTTTGATACTCCAGAAATCACTTTGATCTCATTATACAATGTATAGCATGTTGGTTTCCTATTTTTCCCAAAAGAAAGTAATTCCATTTTCTTACTTCTAAAGGGTTTCAAAGAGAGGTGAAAATTTATATCTTACAACACAGCTACAGGTGTCAAGATGGAGTTTCTTTCAAGGAATATTTCACCTTCATATTGTCTTGACAAGATGGGCTTTAATGGTTTCATCATCTGCTGAAAAACAAACTCTAATGCTCCTAAATGACTGCATGACTTTGAACACTGGTATGAACTGTTTTCAATCACCCCTTCCATATCCATTGATTTTTTATACTAGGGACAATAAGATTTTGGATAAGTGTGTTCTTCTGTGGAAAAAGGGTTAATCATGTGAACGCATTTTTCACCTTACACCTGCTATGTCAAACTCACTAACTAAACTGGCTGCTTATAATTTTGTTCTCAACAGAATAATAAGCAAATTTTCAGATTGCCAGTGCACTACATAATCAAAAGTGCATGTTGATAACTAATTTAAATTTTTTAGGAGCTACAGAAAACTACACTGAAATTGTAAAGTCTAAGACTCATCCAGTAGTAAAGATTTAAATTTTGCACTTTATGAGTTTATGCCCATATATAGCATTTAAATATTTAAAATGATAGAATTAAACAAACTTTCAAAGTAAGTTGTATTGTATGTGTTCTGAGGACTATATTAATTTCTGTAGGACTGTAACGGTGTCAGTTATAAAAAAGAAGGAAAATAACAAGATTTACCAATTAGAGAGGTGAAAGTGCTGTAACTTGTAAATACCAAATGTTACTATGATAAAATGAACTATTGATTGAAGTATGCATAAAAGCTCAGAAAGGTTAAAAGATTTTAAAAAAAGTCAAAAAAGAATACAAAACTACTTGAAAGAAGGAAACAGGAAAAGAAAGTATGTCCTCCGAAACATTAAGCATGACTTCCACGTAGTTTATGATGAATATGCAACTAAACCATAGAAATCATACTAAAGAAGTGTTAAAAAGGTAAAAACCACAAAAGACTAAAAACATTGTTCAAGAATAGGAAGAAAACATACCTCCCGGACATCTTCCAAAAATACTTCATGAGAACCACAATAAGCCCCAACTGCCAGTCTCAAGTCAATTGTCCGGAAGTCTAAAGGGCGAGAAACCATAGCAGGTGATCCAAGAATACCCCTATCATTGCTATCACAAGAATTAAGTAAGGTGGTACCAAGAAAATTGCAAAATCTTTTTGATTCATCTGCAGAAACAGCAGATCGCAGCACAAAGCGGCATTTTTTCATTATGGCATCTGACACAGAAAGTAATTTTTCCCTTCTTGATGCTTTTTCAGGCTTCTGCTGCTGACTGCAACTAGTTAACTTTGCAAGAACAGACAAAACAGCTTTCTGCACCCAAAAACATAAGAGTAAGGTTGATTCTAGGCTTTCTAATAAGGAAAATAAGTCAATAATATAGCAAAGGAGCTCAGAGAAGTGTGTATAGGCCTTAATATAATTATGCATCGCGAGGAGGAGAAGACCATTTTAAGAAGAGATCATACTCTTTCATAAGTGAATAGAAGATACATTTGAATTAAAACTAGCTGGATAAAGAAGCAGAAGCTCTAAGTCTGTAAGAGTTAAGAACATAGGGTACGTTTTCCTATTAAACAAAAAAATGATAACTGCTACCAGCCATCATCTACAGGAAACATTCTGCACTACTAGCATAAACATTGAAAATTGTTTTTAACTCAGCAAATATCTGCTTGTGAAGATCTCCTTATGTACAAAAAGGAGGGGAGAATTGGAATGAGTTTACTTGAAGGATTTACGCTTGCTGCATTCAACCAGTTGATGTCATTCTTTGTGCTTGATGCATTCAACTCAGTACATACAAAACAGCATAGGCAGACTTCTCATTATGACATTGACAGCAATTAAAATCATTCTCGCTTTCAAATTTGAATTTTTTTTGGCAAACCTACATATGTTAACCCTGTGTGGCTGGTCTTCATGATATGTAGCTGATTTTTAAGGAGACTACCAGAAAACGAGGAAACATTCATCAGTTTAGAAAGTTGTCCATAAGAAAGCTTACAAGATCCTTGCTTAGCAAAAACGATACTGATGCCTTTAGGTACATAACATGAACAAAACAACTTTGAGTTGCAGCTTCCCCATCCTCTCCATTTTACGGCACAAAAGGAAATCCAAGTTACAAGGGCATGATACATGCACATGGCTCTTTCCCAGTGCTTGGTTAGAACTTTTTTAAGTGCATTCACTCAGAACTCCAAGAGGCAAAAGTAGTTTTACGGATGTGAACAGATATTGCAAACCTTCTGCCATCTAGGAGTGTGGGTGCCAGAACTAGATTTCTTGATTGTCTTGAAAGATGCTACTGATCCTTAATTCTAACCAGTGGCAGATCAGGGGACTCATGCCCCCCACCTGCCCACCCAACCCCGGCTTCCACTAACTATGTAGCACGGACACGGATCCGACACGGCCATCCGACACGCCGACACGAGGCAAATCCTAAAAAATACATAGGATACGTGTGTTCGACACGTGTGTTCGACACGTGTGTCCAACACGGACACGACACGACACGGCTTTATGTTATGGGTGTCCGTGCTTCATAGTCCATTAATATGCATAATATATAGGTACACGCATACAGTACTGCATATATGTTCACATGTGCCATTTGGGGTTTTTTTATATGAGCCCCTTCAATCCTTCGTATTTTAAAACTGGTCCCTCAAATCATTGAAATTTCTATTACGTTTCGAAAGTCTTCGGTTATTTTAAAATTAGTCCCTCAAATCATTTGCTGATATCTTGTCCATGCAATCAACTTGGTTTGATGAATAACAAATGTTCATACGAATTTAATGTGCTTTGAGTTGGAATGTGCAGGTGATAGATAGAAAATGACCATATAAACATGTACATAAAGTTTCATACTCATAAAATGTTATACGCAGTGTAGTAAATATCAGCCGATATATCGCTATATCAGCCGATATATCGGTTTTGATGCCCTTCTCATATGATATTTATGAAAAAAATATTGTTTTTCGATTTTTACCACTTTTTCCAATATGTTGGAAATATCGGCGGATATTTCATTGAGAAAATATCGGCGGATATTTCATTGAGGAAATATCGACGGATATTTCATTGAAGAAATATCAGCCATTATTGGCTAATATCCAAATGAAAAGGGTTATTGAGCTTGGGTTTGGTTTTGGTTCCCACTAAACCTGAGAATTTAACAAATTCCCAAACTCAAATACCCTAAATCCATAGCCAATCTCATATTTCTCCTCCCACTTCGTTCGACACTCCAACTCAAAAAGGCAATTTCAGATACGAATCTCTCTTCACTTTCTCTTTCTCTTCTCCATTTCTCCTCTCTCTCTCAGCTCCCTGTCAGCTCCTCCTCGAACCCCTCTGTCTCTCTTCCTCTCTCCTCTCTTAACTTCTTTCTCCCTTCTCTCTCTGTCTTCCTCCCTCTCCCTCTCATCTGTTCATGTCTTCTCTCCTTGACCTCTATCTATGTCTAATGTCTGTAAACGCCGTATTTCATCATTCATGAAACAATTTCTTATGTTTAAAATACATTAAATATTGTTGTGGGGTATCCCCTATTCTTCACAAATATACTATCCCGCGAGCCGTCACTCCCCCAGTCGAGTCAGCTTCATTCCTCAAAGGCGACTCGAAAGGCGGACTCAGTCGAACCTCTTCATAATAAAAAATTGCTACTTAGCAATTAGTCGGTACTCCTCCCGAGGATGACTCAGAATATTTCTTCTCAGCATTATTTAACCTTTTATGATCATCATTATGTCTCTGTTCTCAGCCGTCTGAAACCTTGTCGGTTGCGGTTCCCCACATCGCTGAAGTGACTTCTTGCCGCTCATCGACAAGCCTCGACGGCTGTTGGTTCCCCATATCACTGAAGTGACCTTCCATCACTCACAAATCGATACGTATAGAGCAGAGGATGACTCAGCCTCCAGCTCACCCCTCACCATCATCTTAAACCGCACACTAGGTGTTTATTCTGCCATTGGCATCCTCTATAAATACAAACGCTATTCGCCATAAAAACGGGTTCGTTCGGATTTTCTTGCAATAAAAAAACTCTCTAAACAATACATATTGGAAGACCACACCGTTCTTCCTTTACCCCACCCGTCCGCTAGCTGACTTCACCGTCAAAGGTACCACGGGGGAAACAAACCCCGTACTCCCACGATTCTTGCATGTGCAGGTGATCCGTCCGTCCCGAGCTCTAAGAACCAGGCATAAAGTCGAAGTAGGAAGCGGCCCCCATCGACGGTTCAACCCCTCGACGACTCAACAACACTGCAACTTCAATCGGCTGTGTGATATCAGACATCAACAAATATGTTTTGATTACATATTACAATGTTATGTTACATATGAAGATCATCTGATATGAGACCCCGATATTTTTTACATATTCCCGATATATCCCCGATTTTTGCAATTCGATATGGATTTTGGTCTCCGATATTTTCGACAGTTTCGATATTTAATACATTGGTTCTACGTGAAAGTTATGGGTCAAAACAATTCAGAAGTGCAAAAGCAACTTCGTGCACTTGTAAGTCAACTTGGTGAACACCAAAAATCAGTTTTGATATACACAAGAAATCTACAATTTCAGTATCAACGGAAGTCAAGTTAAGATCTTGAAAATCTGCTTTTGAACTTGCCAAAGTCGGCTTAGAACACTATAAAGTCGTCTTATAGTGAAAGAATGCTCAATTCTGGTGGCAGGCAAAGCCGGCTTAGACTTGAGGAAAGTCAGCTTAGTAACACTGTAAATGCTCAATTCTGGAAAACAAAAGAAAGCCTGCTCTGGGGCATATAAAGTTAGTTTCGCGACAAAAATCCTATTTCTTAATCTGATTTGTAGATTTAATCTCATACGTTCATTCGTATTTCTCTATTATTAGAGAGCTTTGTTGAGAGAGAGAGAGAGAGAGACTTTTCTAGGATTTGAAGGACTCAGTTGTTGTCACCTCTTGAAGTTTGATAACTTGTTGTCAATGCGTGAGACGCAATGCGGGGCACAAAGCATCTTTACGCGCACATGTGCAAGGCGCAACGCGATGCGCGCGCCCTAGTGATGCGAGGCGCACACCGCACACATAATTTTTCAAGATAAATAATCAAGCACGAAAGAACATGTTTAGGAATTCATATAAAAATATATCAGGATAAATAATATCTTTCTACAAATTCACAATATAATGTCTTAATTTCTAATGCTAACACCCAACATAGCAGCAAATTTCATAAATTATCAAATCAAATGTCAAATCAAGACTAATATCCAAGAAAAGGATAGTTATGGTCCTCAATTGAAGGCAACTAAAAAGTTGCCTAATAGATTTATTTTTCTTTTTGGGATGTGGATTATCAAGTATAAAAACTCGATTAAAATGTTAACAAACAAAACTATATGAAAGTATATACTACATGCACCCTGTGCAAAGTCAGGATGTATGCAAGGCGCAAAAGGTGTCGCCACTTCAGATACAGTGCGCTTCGCTACCACCCTGTATCGCAAGACGCATGAGATGCAGTGAGACGTGCCCCTTTGAAAACACTGAGTTTAATTGCATCCTCATAGCAACTTACCTCGCTGGATATTTTTCTTCACAAAGTGCAACCAGCCCTAGCATCACATCTTTTTCGTTCTTCCATATCTTCACTACAAATCTTTTAGAAAATAGCTTGATCCAAAAGGATTGTAAGATCATTCTAGTTGTGCTTCATTGATGTTAGTTTTTGATAGAACAATTGTTTTTCGATCGTGTGATCAGTTTGTTTCTTACAGCATACTTAAACCGAGGTGAATTGAGGAAGAGGGTCATTTGCTAGAGCTAGGGTTCTACCGTTGTGATAGGTTATCAACAAAGACAATTAGATTGGGTGCAATGTTGTGATTGCTTACTCGATTGGGCTTGTGATCCAGGTGAGCCCTATCACATGGTGTAGAAACCCCTCCCGACGAAGAAGAAAAGTGGACGCCGGAATTCTATCTGAGCCACTATAAAATCCTTGTCTTTGAGATTTTGCTCTGTGGTTGTTCTTTGAAAATTAGTTTATTTTCTGTAATATATGTGATATTTTAATATTTGTTTTAATTTTCGAAAAAGAGTAGCAATCCTCTTCAAACCCCCAATTATTAGGTCCTCCAATTGTCATAAATTTTTCAAATTAATCAATCTAACTGCTATTCTACTCATTGGAGAGAATCTTTTCAAAAATATTAATAAAAAAAGGGTTGCGGGCCTAATGGATGAGAGTGACTAACTGGATAAGCTATGGACGCATGGATGAGAAAGATTAGGTGACCCAAGTAACAAATTAATTAATAATAACATTGCCTTATCCTCAGTTACACAAAGCCTTCTTGTTTACTTTATTATTCTCAAACTTAATTTCTAGCATTTTAAGTCAAATACAGACATCTCCGATGAGCTCATTACTAGGTGTTGTGGTTTTGCATTTTGCAGTTTTAGTTTATAGTGGCAACCAACTATAATTGGTTCATTTTTTAAAAGAAACTTCAGAAGATCGAAGCATTTTGATCCAATGATCGGCCGATATATCGAAATGATTTTTACAGTAATTCATGGATTCTTTTTTTTTTTGTAAACCTTCTATTCTGAAGTTCTTGCATATTCTCATATATATAATATATATCATATATATAATATATATATATATATTATATATAATATATATATATATATATATATATATATAATATACTATATATATTTATATATATATACACACACACACCACACACACACACACACACACATATGAAAGCTTCATTATACTTGCCATATGTGATCACTCTTTTTTATTGATGTGATGTTGTACTTGTCACCCCCCCCCCCTCCATCAATGAAAAAAATTCTAGCCTACACTTACTGATTCAAGACTGCTCAGGTATGTGGTAGCATCCTTTCTAATCATGAAACCATCTAAATATGGGGGAAATGTCAAAAGTTGGCATATCAGGAATATTTTCAGTTTATTTTCACCATAACTTAGTCGCACATATTAACCAAGTACCAATTTATTTTCCAAATACTTTCAATCATAGCAAGAATACCGTCATGTCCAACATGTTCCCTTTAGCAATTTCCTTCAAGAAAAATTCACTATTCTCATTTTCGGACGATGCCTCTAGTTCCTAATGCTAACATCCAAAACACTAGACTATATCTGCAGTTTGTCCTATTTTCCACTTTGATATGGAAAGACTTAAAAACTTGACAATATGGGTATTCAGAGTTCCAGTAATGGGCATCACTTACATATAAGTACAGATGAAATATAAGGGGAAAATCATATGGGACAATAAGGAACTCCAACCACAACAAAAAATACAAAAAAGTCCATCACAACATTGTAGTCACATAGACATTTATGCAGCGTAGAGAATTAGAAAAAAAAGGATAGCTTACCTTTGTCGGCCCTGACGCATTTCCTTTGTAAACCTCTTTACTGATTGAATGCTCCAGAATCACCTTTGCCCACTCTGGTGGATTTTTCTCTAAAGAATTGTATACACACTTTCTAATCCTTGTTCCTACATTAGTTGGTAGCTTTCTCACTGGTTCCAGAGTTTCTGCCCACTCAGGAAGATTATTGCTTTTAACAACCACTGGTTCGCAAGTATCTGCTGCATCAGAATCTTTGTGATCTACAGGCAACATGTCACTCTCTTGTTTTGTAGAACTAGATATTTGCCTTTCTGCCTCTGCAAGAAGCTGGTTTTTGCAGATATCAGTCATAATTGCAATATTAAAAATGCATTTCTTAATTATAGTGAACAAAGTTTGAAATATTGAATAATAATTTGCATTCCAGAACACACAGTAAAGTTAGAGAACGTTAGTATCACATAAGTAACTTGAGTAAGATAGGAACCCTGAAAGACTAACTCTTTTCAGGGAATAAATAAATTTTGGAAGTACCTAGATTCCAAACAAGAAGAAAAAGGGATGTCAAATTTGTTGAAAAGGAATATCAAATATTTACTTCACAAAATGCATCATATTCTTGTGTTTTTTTATATTTGATTGAATTTAATCGCCCCATAACAAGGTTTTAAATATCGGATGTCGGGTTCATGTCGGACGGCTGAAATCCATGTCGGATAGCGGAAATCGGGGATATATCGGGGGACATGGACTAAATATCGGATTGCCATATCGGGTGATCCACATATGTATAATATCATGCCCTAAATGTAATCTAACTATCTAAGCATTCCTAAATTCATAACTTCATGACTCTGCACATTTCAACATTCATATGCACATTTAAAATAAAATAAATCTCTCCTTATTAATCAATAATCATTAGCTTATTATTAATCAGTTAGCCTATTATTAATCAAGTGATCAAACATCAAGTAATCATTAGCCTATTATTAATCAAAATAGTCCACAAACCAAACATTCACGTGTGAAGAAGAAAAAAAGAAAAAACAGGAAAATCGGCCGATATGGCCGATTTTCCAAACAAGAAAATCGGCCGATATGACCGATTTTTCGCTGATATGGCCGATATGTCGGTAAAAAACGATATGCGACTTGTTTTTCCCCGATTTGTGTCGTTGGACCCCTCAATCCGCTATATCGGCCGACATGTCCGACATGTCGGCCGATATTTAAAACACTGCCCCATAAGAAAAAGGATCCAGTCCCTACTTGCCCCCTAAACTATTAAATATATCCTTTCTTACACCTAAACTATTAAATATGTTGATTCTTACCTCAAAACTATTTTTTATCTCACCTTGCCTAAACTATTAAATTTGTCTCCGCTTAACCCCCCCTCCCCCAACCATTTCCAGTCTCACCTTACCCCCTGAACTATCGCTTCCTCTTATACATCCGCTTGAAACACCCACAAAGTAATAAATGAGAAGGGGTAACTAGGTACAGAATTTGATAGTTCAAGGGGTAACCAGGGATAAATTTAATAGTTTAGGTGCAATGTGGGATCAAAAAAGTACAAGGGGTAAGCACTAAGCAGGGGATGAATTCAATAGTATAGGAGCGGGGTTGGGGGGCTAGAGGCTTAGGGGGCAAATAGAGTATGGAGCCTAATAAAAAAGAAAATAAATATATTTTCATCATTTTATGTGTAAGCTCTTAAAAGTGTTTATGTAAATCTAAATTTAATAAGACAACAAATCAAGAACCTTTAAAAGTAAATGCATTATTTGGGCCAATGCTGAAACTATTAAAGTAAGCAAATACAACCACAGTGGCCCAGATGAGAGAACTTTTGTTTCCTTACCAATGCATCTGATTCCATCCCAGCAATTCCAGAAAGAGATCCACATAGTACACCGCCATCACCTTGTAAACATCGATAAACTTTTAGGCTTTCACGATTACTGACATCTTCCATGCGCCCATTCATCGACAAGACTGCCAAAACATATCTGCGAGCTAACTCCGGCCACGTCAGCTCGTTAACAGTTAGTAACTCATTCTTTATTTCTTTTGCAGGAGAGTTTTCTACATCTTTCTTCCTACCCCTTTTGGGTTTTACATCTCTAGCATCAAAATTTGGATCTAGAAAAACTGCAACCTTGTTTACGAGCTCTCCAACCAAGACTCTCAGTAGTGAGATGTGTGCTTTTGTCAGAGCTACACCACTGCAACTCCCATAAGTATGTGATGCCACTTTAACTTGAGTAGCTTCCCTTGTAGCAGCCGTTTCGATTGGAATTAACTTGGAAGGGCCCTGTTCATGCATTGTTGAATTGGATGCATTGGTGGAGAGTGAAACTGAACAACTAGCATTTTCAGTTCCTAGTGATGCTGGTTCTCTGCAATCCTGGTTTTTCTTTTCAGTTGCTAGTGACGCTGGAGCTCTACAGTCCTGATTTTTCTTTTCAATTTTTTTCAGATGATTCAAGTCACAGGGCCACGGATCAATAAGTTCATCTTCAAGTTCCTCAAATGACAAAGGTTCTTTCAGACCCAAAATTTCATAGAAACGCCAGAAGAACTCCCATATCTAAAGAAATTCAAAAGTTAAATAGCAAGACAAGTTAGAATTTTGAAGAATTAGAACACGGATAACTAAACATAAATGACAGCTTCTCAAGCAATTGTCACTTGATGATTCTAATAAGATACCTGAAAAACATCTCCTACAAGCTCTCCAGGGATCTTACTGCTCAATGGCCGTCCGGGAGGGGCTCGTCGTGTATCAGCTAACGGGGAATCTTCAGGAAGATTATGCACCTTGGATCCACTGTACAGACCATACGGTACTTCCTCACCAGCCCGTTTTCCGTTCTTCTGTATGGCTAAAAGTAACCTACTCCCAATTGTACATGAAGACAAAAAGTCACTCCTATCAATTAAAAATTGATACTGTGAGCAAGCGCGGCATGTAGGAAGGGTTTCTATAACTTCTTGTACAAAACCAGTATCTAACCCAAATCTATCTTGCTCTAACCATGTTGACAGTGATCTCAGTGTAGCATCCAGTTCACTATCACTCTGAATAACTCGAGGAGTTTCAATGGGTCCAGAGGCATAGCAGAATCTAGCCAGTGAGCCAATACGGTGTACATCTTTTAGATCACCATCAGAGAAAGATGAGCCACACTGATGTCTGCAACAGAATTGCAAACACCCATACTGCTTGTACACTTCAGTGCAAGCATCAATGAGAGTTCGGGACACCATTTTCCATACTGAAGAAGAAGATTTTCCTTCGACATAGAATTCCCCAATTTGATCCCTCAAACTAGAACTCTTGTTTGAAAGATCTGTAGACCTTTCTGAATTACGGTTAAGATTGGCTGTTAGACTATCTGGTTTTTGCAAGTACATTTGCGCAGAAGACTGATCTAAATTTTCACTGCTATCATGAGGAAAACAAGACAAAAAGTCTTGCTCTGAAGGATTGGGGTCTGAAAGGAGCATAAGAATGTCTTCTTCTTCATTAGAGCTAGCATCAAACACCATACTACTACTTTCTGTATTTTCTGCAGGGCCTAACTGGTTAGCCTTGTTATGTAAAAGAATAATTTCCCCATTTGGAATAATAGACAGCGAACAAGGACACCTTCGGACCTTGAAAACAGGTCCAGAGTCGCCTCCATCTGACACTTCGCACTGAAAGAGCGAACCTGTAACTTTATCATGCCAGTATGATCGATATCCTATTGGCCATATTTGGTGACTATCATGGTATGCTGCTCGAGCATCTACTTTCCCCAGACGAAGAACAAAGAAATCTTTGTATTGAATAGGAAGGCTGACCTGTAATATAATATGTTTAAAATAAAGTAAATACATAAAAAATGAACCACTATAGAAACAAAAAAAATTAAAGAACTAATATATGATAGAGAATATATTACAAATGCAATAACTGATGAGTGATAACCTGTGTGCCAATTGAAATAAGAGAAACAAGGCTAAGAGAAAAGTGTAAGTCAAGGCAGAAGAAACACCAACATGGATGCATAAGTACTTACAGATGAATTTTGAGAGTCAGCGAAACCATTTTCTTCCATATAAGATTCTGCAGCTCTTGAAGCACAGTTAGCATCATAATATTGAGGTCTACAATCTGCATCAGGATAAGGCACCTCCCTATGATTAATCCTCAAAATTTCATGGTTTTCAGTAGATTTACAGTTCGCAGAAATTCTTGCAAGATCTTTTCTCCGTCTACGAGAAGCAAGGGGTCTGCGCACTGATGCAAAACCACAGGTTCTTTCATCGACCTCAACAGGAGTAATACCTGAGGAAATCCCCAGATAGTGAGCAACATCATACATTGATTCAAACCTTTTTCCATCTGGAGCACAATAGAGAACAGATGGATTGGGACCATATTCATATGGGGATGGTATAAATTCAACATGCCATCCTTCACCAAGAAAACCGCCCTTGTCCAAAATGAAGTTTCTCAAGGTACTGAGAAACAATTCTTCCTTAAATTGCTCTGGTGTTGATATGCTGCTGAGAACAGGTCTTCTCCTAACTGAAGAACCAAAAATTAGGTTGTCAAAGCCTTGGCCTGTATTTAATCCATGATGTGGTACGTCTTCTGAACTCGTTTGCACACTATCAATCAAAATGCGAGTATGACGAGCTAAGTCAAAGGCATTTCCTACTTGAACCGTGTTTAGACATGAATGATGTCCATCAATTCCACCATTTGACGAAGCTCCGTCATGATTGCTCATTCTGCAGCAGTACAAAATAATATTAGAATTGCTTTTAGGATCTGGTTTTTTCATACCAAAAGAAACAATCAAAAATAAAAAGGTTTTTTTAGGTGAACATGACAGGAAGTGCAACAAAGACTTCGATCACTGTGAGCAGAATAAAAAAATAACTAGCTCATGATATGCGGAAGGGATAGTTTCTAGAGTGTGTCTACATTAAAAGCATTAAAGGCATAAAAACAGTATCTTAGTTGACCTTCAACTCGTGCACAGAGAGATGCTTGTTTGACGATAAATCATTTGTTCATTCTAACTCAATATGTTGCACAAAGGGATGGTGTGATAGCAATAACGATAACAAACGACTAGGCATTTTCGCAATCTCCATTCACTACTAAGACAGAAAGGAAAGTAATATTCCAACCAAATATTTTATATAAACGTTTATCTGATACCATGCAGAAGTGAAACAGGGTCAGAAAATGACAATATGATTCGCAGTTTCTTTCTGCCTTAGATAGACTAATTCTTTAAAAATATTCAGCAAAATTCTTCGACATGTGAAATGGAAACATGATGTAACTCCAATTGGGATTACCCAGCAATTATCCAAATCAGTGCCATTGCTTATTTAACTATGTAAACATGATGAGATGAGTAAATACTAATGTTAAATTTGAGCATGTAGTTCCTCTTAAGTGTGTGAACTATAACATATATGCATACGCATGTTACAAAAATACACACATATGCATACAGTACATACATACGTGTATGTGTACATATATGTCTGTGTGCATGTCTGTGCAGGTGCATTTGACTATATGCAGGTTCCCATGTCATAGTTAAAAGTTATGTATGGCACTTCAGAACACTAAGATATTTGGCACAAGTGGCTGCATCCATATAGCAAGGTTGCCAACTTGCCATCATAAACAAGTTCATCTTGTAAAGACCTGGTTAGACAATAGGACCATCAAATGCTATTGTATGATGAATGTATTGATTTCTAACCGCTGGAAACTCTCAACACTTCTAAATACTGGAAGATTGAGAGTCACATGGTTGTAAACTTGTAAAGACTTAATTCTTGTAGGTCCATCGTCATGAAGGAACCAAAACCCACTGCATTGACGAGATAATAAACACTCATAGGCCTCGTCCATTTTGCACGCAAGTGACATATTTCAAACATTTTTGTCCTAATTTCTCTGTGCAACTAATCTCCCATTCACTTCTTCTATTTGATTATTAGGGGCATATTAGACTTCGTAAAAATGTCGCTTCCATCATTTGAACAATTTTCTGATAGTACAAGGCCTTTTTGTGCAGATTTGAAAGTTCATGATATTTTCTTTACATAAAGATATTGTATTTTATGGCATTTCTGCAAACCCCCTCATAGTTCATGATAACTTTGTGAATTTACCCTTGTTTGTTAGAAATAATACATCGAACAAAAGGTAGGCTATGAAATTTTCTCACCCTTTTCGTGTTCCAATTGTCTTATATCCGTTTTTTTTTTTTTTGGAGGGGGGGATAAGATATAAGATAATTAGAACACAAAAAGGGTGAGAAAGTTACATAACCTACCTTTTGTTCGATATATGATTTGTTATGATGAACAGCTAAAAGGGCTGTCAGTAGAAGTTTTTTTATTATTTGTTTTCTTTGTTTTTTGGGTTATGTCTGGCATGTAGCATGTAACTCATTATATACAGCACTCATAAAAAGGCGATGGATGAGATCATACGTGCATAACTGTCTTAACTCTTGGAATATGACCTGTCAAAAAATATTGTCCTGGATTCAAATAATGTTCAATTTTTCAGTCTGGCTCTTTCTTATGCGGAAAAATGTAAACTCCCTATGCTAAAATCCTTTTGCAATGATACTAACCAGCCTCTCACTTTTATCGGCCTCTTCCCTTCTCTAAGAGAATTTGGAGGGTATGTATCTGACCGTATGAGAGCTTGCACAACAAAATCAGTCCTTGATATCTCTTATAATGCATCCACGTTCACCTCAGCTTAAATCTCAAAGTAAAATCTGAGCTTAACTTCCTAAACTATCAGACCAATGCATGCTCACTCAAAACAATACCACTCCAATCATAACTCACACATGTAACTACATATTATGGGAGAAAAAACTCTTTTTGAAAATTAAACAGTACAGTTCCTGACAACTTCTCACTTCTCTGATTCTTTCTATCCCTCTTCTATAAGAGAATTTTGGATGGTATATATTTGATTGCAAAAAATGAGCTTGCAATACAAAAAGTAACTAAACCCCAACTTAAATTCCTAAAGTAGCAAATCTATGCATGCACATTTAGATAGCACTCCAATCCTAACCCAAAAAGTAATAACAAAAAAAAACTCGTTTTTTGAAGATTAAGTTCGTCTGCATTGCCTGATAAATATAATAGCTTCTCAATTATCACAATCTCTCATCTTCTCTATGAAAATTTCGGAGGATGTATTGTACAGAATCAGGCTATTCGCACTTTAGTAGCCATTAGTTTCACCCTTTTTTTAACTTTGATGCCCTCAACTACTAGTTCAAAGATCTGAAATCCCAAAGTTTCCAAATTGATGTTATTTTGACAATTTAATACACCAAAATCCTACATTTGCACCTCACATCCCAAGCTCAAAAAACTGAAATTTGGTAAGAAAACTGTTTCTCGTTCACTTCTCTAAGTTGATATTCTTGTACAAAATTAACATCAACTTTTTTCCCACTTTTGGTATCAAGTTGTCAGATTAGAACTGAAACTTTGAGGCGTTACACTGCAAACAAGCCAACTATAGATTGAAAAAAACCACATTTTTAAAACAAAAGAGCAAGAAAAAGATGAAGTTCAAGAGGCACCATCCTGATTTCTCGCACTCAACATCTGCCGGGCGCCGCTCATTGATATCAGCAGCTTCGCCGCGCCAGGACCACCTCTTGGCTGCGTGGCCCACTCAACGCACACTCTCCACACATCCAGTCCCCGGCCACCGCTGCTGCCGCTGCTCGATCTCAGGCACCCCAAATGGAAACCCGCGCTCTCACACCCATCACACACCACGGTCCCATCCCAGACCTCCGGCTTCGCGCAATCCCGCACCGTGGCGCACCACTCCGACCCCGCCTCGCCGGGAAACCTCGCCGCCGGGCCCTCAGCCGCGGTTTGAGCTTCCCGAGGAACTTGACGACGATGGAGTAGGTTTCAATGCTCGGATTCGACGGCGGCGTGAGGCGGAGGCGGAGGAGGGGGGAGAATCGGAGGGAGGGAGATGGCGGAGCCTCGTTGAGGTCGATGACGAAGGCTGGCATCTTGCTAGGGCTCGGATCGTCCATTAGGAGGGGAGGGGGTAGTAGGGGTTAGGGCTATGGTTTGGAGGGAGGTGAGCATTCTATAGGAGAGGATCTCTAGGTGTTTTGGTTCAGTGATTTAGGGCGGGGGGGGGGGTGAAGGAGGAGGGAAGGGGGGAGAGAGAGAGAGAGAGAAGGGTCGGTTCTGGATCGGGGCCCGTGAAAGGCGTCAGGTCCGCTGCTTCGCCGTGTTCGGGGTCTGTAAGAGAGCGGACTTCTGGTTTATGTTAGTTGATAGCGGCGGTTGTTATCTGATGAGGGTAAGTGGGATGAGTGAGAGGCGACGGATCCGCTGCAGAGGCCGGACAGTGGCAGGAGGGCTGAAGAGGCAATAATGTGCCGACACGTAGCTATTGAATGTGGGCCCCACCCCCGGCAAGTCGCTGACTGTGAACATAAGCGGCGGGTAGAAGAGGCGAGACAAAAAGGGCGAGGGGGGAAACGGATTATTCGCTTAATAACCCAAAATTATAATTTCCGTATTTGGAATTTAGTTTCCTATTATTTTTTGTTCTTGGCGATTTCTGGTATCCAGCTGGACTCTTTGTGCCTCTTGAAAAATTCACGAAAATAATATTCGGGTCGTTCGTTTAAAAAGAATAAGAAAAGTTTACAGAAATAGTTGAAAACGAGGAAAAAAAGTATGGAGATAATATATTTCTATTTTCTTTCTTAGTCTGTTAAGTGAGGAGACTTTCTTGATAAAAAAGGAATAAATCATTATCTGATATTATTAAACATAAAATTTGAAATTATGATGTCATCTTTGAATTCTGAATTTTATTTCTTGCAAGACTTGCAGTATGTGTTTTGCAGTGACAATACGACACCCAAAAAAATCTTTAAAAACTAATGTTAGAAGATTTTTTATAAAAAATAAGAAATTTTTGAAATGAATTTCCATAGAGACTCATTGCTTCATAACAAGCACCATCTCCGCATTTTCTCTTATCTCCTGATTTATGTTGCAAGAAAGAACTTAAATTTTTTTCCTTTGAATGCCACCCCTTTCCCTTTTGATTATTTCTATAAACTTAATGTTATACATTGTGAAGTACAACATCATAAACTAAAATTAAAAACAGCCAAAATGAAATTATAAAAGCGATCAATCTATATGTTTTTTGTAATGACAATTAAAATCACTTGCCTAATTAAGATTTGCCCTCCCCTTCTGATCCCACGTTGGATTTACTATTCTCCGTAATGAGTTTGTATCCATTTTATTCTTTTCGCAATGGAAAATAATTTTCATATAGAGATCAAACACAATGGGTGGCGGCAAGGCATAGAAGAGGTTTTTTTAGGGTTGGAGCTCTGTTGTTTACACTACCAATGTATATATGTATTACATTGAGGGCTCCGTCGAGAGATAAGAAAAATAGTCATGCCAGCTGGAGCAATCTAAAAAAAGAAGGTCACATGTTTCTCGGCTCGCTCGTACACTTGGATAGGCTCATGATATTCTCGAGGTAGGCAGCTCAAATATAATGTGAACCTCTTCAATCCATGTGCAAATAAGGGCATGTTGTTTGCGCGAAAGTAATTATGAAGTAGCTGAAGTAAAAGAAGTAGATGCTACTTCTGCTAGTTTCAAGCAAAAAAGTATGTTTGGTTCTCTATAAAACTTACTTTCAATACTTCCTTAAACACTA